CGAGGGGGGGGGGGGGGGGGCTCCCCCTTCATGGGATGCCTTCAGCAGAGGCTGGACAGGCTGGGGTGCTTTAATCTGGGTGCTAATTCCTGCCCTCAATAGGAAGCAGACTAGACGGCCTCAAGAGCCTACTCCAACTCTAGCATTCCAAGGCTGAAGACACAGGCAGAGATTTTCACGCACAGCTGCCCCCTCCCACCACTGCAGGAGCAGCAGAAGACAGCATCCCTCAGGCAGATGAAAGCGGCCAGTCACTGACTGGGGAGGGCAACCTGGGGGCCAAGCGGGATGAAGGTGGATCAACCAGCAGGGAGAATAGGCAGCCTCAGGCTCTCCCACCCACAGACTTTGCTCACCTCATATTTATTGGGTGCGATAAAGTTCAGAGTCTCGTCTGGGTCATAGAGGATGGAGAAAGCCAATTCCAGTGCCTCCTTGGGGATGGGGAGAAAAGCCAGTAAGTGAACAACTGGGAGGCAGGCCATCGTCCACTTTTCTCTCTGTTCCCAGGAAAATGCCTTTTCTGAGCATCCCGCCCCCTGCCACGCTGCCAATACCTTGTTCTGCTTCAGCGCTCCCTTCTCTTTCATATGAGGACACTCTTTCCCAGTGAGAACAGCCTTGATATCTGCAACAGGGACTAAGGGAAAAGGGGCCATCATGCCTAGCCCTTCAAGAGCTTAGTCCAGGCAAATGCACGGGGGCGGAGGGCTACTGTGCTGCCAGGAGCCTGGCCGCTGCCTCCCCACCTCCCTTACGTACTCTTCTCCTGCAGTGACTCCAAGGTCACCTCTCCCTGGGCGTTCTCCTCCAGGTCTCCATAGTGGAGCATCTTGTGGTTCAGGGCCAGGCGACAATACCAGAAGCGCTCTGCAATGCACAGGACAGCTTTCAGCAAGGGCCAGTGGGTGCTCCCCCCGGCCACCCGGTCCCACCGCCTCCCATCTTGGGAAGAGGCCCTTCTGCTCCACCACTGAGAGAGCCCCCTAGCTGCAGCAGTGCTCTCTGCTCACCTTGCCTCCTCCGATTCCCTACTTTGCGGAAGCTGGTCCCTTCACAGAGGCGATTCAGACGCTGCTGCTTAATGAGCTCCAGGATCTCTGGCTGGATCTTCTCCCGCAGCTCTCTGGGGAATACCACCCAGCAGGCAAGTCAGAGTGCTGCCCCCCAGCCCCTCCCCACACGTCCCCAGGTCCTCCCCAAGGCACTCACACGATGGGGGGGGACTGGAAGTCATCTTGGCTCATCCGCTCAGACTGGCGCAAGCGCAGGATCTCCGAGTAGCTCAGGTTACGCAGCTTGTTCTTGAACTGGTCCAGGGAGGGGGGCTTGGCGGGCAAGGCCCGGGTGATCTGCTCCCGTACCACCTGCATCACCTGGCGAAAAAGGAGGCCAGCAGCATTACAGGGCTGCGGAGGGAGGGAGGAGCCAGAAGGGCCTCCTGCACCAGACCCACCTTGTGGAAATCCTCAGCTGTTGCCCGCATCTCCTTCCAGGTCTTGTTCAATAGCTGGATACAGATGGCAAAGAGCTCCTCAAAGGCGTGGTCATGGGTGAAGAACATGGGGTGGTAATCGTTCCGGCCCTCGTTGGCTTTTCAGAGACAGGGAGGAACCATGCTGTCAGAGCAGCCAGGGATGATCACTTTCCCCCGAGCTGGGCTTTGGGAGGGAGATCTAGGGCAAGTATTTCCAGAGTGCATGGAGGCATCAGCAGAAAAGCACTAGGAAGTGCAGGCTGCGTTCATGGGAAACTCCACAAAAATGTCACAAACGTCACAGCTGAATACACTGGGATTCTCACTGCCATCCTGAGCCGAGGCTTACATAATCCTGGCTCTGAATACGCCACAACCAGCTGGGTTCCTGGCACAATAAATCCCTGGCTTTGTGCAAAGAACCAAATGCACTGGCAGGCTGAGGCTCTGAACTTGCAAAGCATAGCTTTCCTCTCTCTAACCAACGCTTGGGGGGCAGACAGGCCACCCTTCACCAGCTGTGCTCAAACACACCTGCCCAAACCACACCATGCTATGGCTTAAGACTGCCGCCAGAAGCAGGCCTGTGAGCCTACCACATCTCTGCCAAGTAACCTCCCGTTCATGCCAGACAAGGTGGGCCTTGGTTGATCCAGGTTGTGCCATTTCTCTGGCTCAGAGACAGTCCTCAACTGGTGGGTCTTTAGAGCTCCCCTGAAGGTTGGACACCCTTCAGGGCTCACACGACAAGGGGAGCTTATCAACAGGCAGCAGAACGTGCTCTGTCCCTTAACTGCATATCAGCAGGTGCTCCCCTGGGTGCCTCCTCGGTGGGCTTAGCTCAACCGCACTCCACTTACGAAGTTCTCCAATCTGCAAGATCTCACAGAGCATCCTGGTGAGTTCAATGGCGCTGCGCCCAAAAGGGCAATTGTGTTTGTCCTCCTGGCTGCTGTTCTCCAGGACAATCTGAATGGCGGGAAGAAAAGCATGAAGGTGAGTGGAAATCCAGATGGCTGCCTGCACAGGACCTTAATTGAAGGCAGCCTCGTCCCTTACTCGGATGTAGGTATCCTGATGATGTTTGGCTAGGTAGAACATACTGTCCAAGGCCAACATGCCTGGGGGGATCTGAACGAAGTCCAAGGCGGGATTGACGTGATTCTGTGGAAACAAAAACCATAGTGTCAGCTGCCACCTGTCTCCATTGGCCCTCGGCCCCTCGCAGCCCAACGGCCAGCTTTTCCTCCCCACACCAACCATGAAACCCAGCATCTTGTAGTCCTTGGTGTAAGCAGCCTTGCGCTTCTCTGCTCCACCAGGGACGCTGTTGCTCTCAGACTCTGCCTCGAAAGCGATCCTGCGCAGCTCAAAGATCACGTCTCTCTGGGCCTGGTTGGGGACGAGGGGGACAATGAAGGCCTGGGCAACAGGCTGGCAGGGCCCCAGAGGCTGCACTGAGGAGCCGAGCTGCCCTTCCCACCACCTGGTCAGTGGGGTCCATTTTTGCCATCATCCGCTCCTCCAGGAGGTTGAAAGTCAGAACCTGAAGCACGTACAGCTGATGGGCCATCTCAGTTTTGATTGGGCGGTTTCCTCTGATGATGTGCTGTGGGAGGACAATGGGGAAGACAGTCAAGAAGGAGCAGCCCACCCCCTCGCAGCTATCAGCCGGCACACTGCCCGCTATCTGGCAACAGTGAGCTGCTTTGCAGGGTTGTTGCAAGGCCCTGGCCATCCCCACGTATAGTGCAAACTCTAGGGAAGACTGAGGACAGGATGAGAGCCCCGAGTGAGAACGGCCTTTTTCACCCTGACCCTTACCGTCAAGATGACAGAACGCAGCTGCTTCTGGGCGAAGGCATTTGCCATCTCCTGCCAGAAGGGAAAAGGAAAATGGGGAGTGGAAGGAAGAGAGGCAGAGAGAGAGACAGCCTTCCGGCCCTCACGCCACCTGCGCTGCTTCCCAGCCCCTCTCCAAAGCCCTCCAGGGTAGCCTGCTGCAAGGTTCCCAGGCTTTTCTCAGCCCCCAGGGCAGAAGTGGTCTGCGCCCGGCCCCTCTGCTTCTCTGCCACCTTCAGCACACACCAGCAAAAGGACACCCCACCACGCTTAAAGAGGACATTTACAGCCAGCCTGGCCTCCCTTCCCTGGCACAGGAATTGACTTACAGTGCAGGGCAGGTCTAGTGGACTAACAAGCTTGTCCTGGGGGCGGAAAGCAGAAACAGGCACAAGAAGCAGCAAACGATGGACTCAGCGCGGGGGGAGGGGGGGACAAACACAACAGGCAGTGCCACATGGCAGCCTTTCCAGGCCAGCCCCCACCCCAGAGACAGCCCTCCCACAGAGAGCAAGGTCCACTCCACTGGGCCTTCGGAGCTCCTTCCCAGTAGACAGAGGATATGCGCCCAGTCCCTGCCAGGCCAGCCACCTACCTGCCTCTTGTCCTCAGGAGCCTTCAAGAAGAGGGCATTAATCAAAGCAATTGCGTACGTCTGGATCTCCTGGTTGGAGCTACAGGGAGACCCAGAGAAAGACCACGTTCAGCTCTTCTGCCCTGCCAGGGGCTTGCGATGGGGTGCCCTAAGACCTGGGACACTCACACTTGTAGGTGGGAGAGGAGCTGCCCAACCGTGATCTCATCTGCAATCTTCTGATAAAGAGCTTGGCTGTTGAGCACCATGCTCTCTAGGATAGCCAAAGAGCGCTGCAGGATGGAAACGTCCACTGTTGGCTGGCTCACGTACCCTGCAATCTGCCAGCAGAGGAAACTGCCATTCAGAACCAGCCTGGTCCACAATGATATCCCTGCTCTTGCCCCCAGCAGATGGTACCTGCTTGATGAAGCTGACGGAGACTGTATCCCAGGAGACGAGGCCGTGGTCCATGAGCTCCAAGAAGGCAGTAAGAGTGAAGGCCAGCATCTCACCGTAGCTGTAGGAGAAGACGCAAACTGCCCACTGCTCCCTCGTCTGCAGGCTGCTGCTCAGCTCTCTCTCACCTGGCTGTCAAACCTTTGACAACCCACATGGCTCTTCTCTGACATGGCCTTGCTGGCAATGCTATTGCCAGTCAAAATGGGTGACAATAAAGGAGGTCACCCTGCTGCCTGGGGGGTCTAGGAGACCAGGAGCATGACAGAGACTCCCAAGTACAGCAGGGCAAGTTTCTGGGGCTCCTCGTGCTCCCCAGAAGGTCATCATCCATGGACTCCAGTGCTGGCTAAAGGTACTGTGCAACCAAGGGGGACAACTCTTCCTGAAGGACCTGGCCACTAGGTGACACCCTCCTTTCCTTTGCTTCCTGGGCTTTCTAGGAAGAGAACAAGTCCTAGGACCTGTTACCATCCATTTCCCAAAAAGGCCCTGCAGACAAAGAAGTAAGGGGGCTTGGCTGCCTTAGTGCCACTCCTGGCAGCCCCTGGAGAGTAGTTCTCAACAGCAATGGGTTCTTGGAGCAACTGGGAGGCTTATTCCACTGCTGCAAGATGTTGGGATGCTCTGGGCAAGACTAGGCTAAAGGTGCAATAAACAGTTGATAAAGATGGGGGCAGGGGGGAGATGCAGGAGGAGGTCTGCACTAAAGAGCAGCCAGGCACTTACTGAGAAAGGAACTTGGAACTGCTCTCCACCAGGCGGGTGAGCACCGAGATTCCATCCATGTTGATGAACTCAGTGGCAAAGGTGACATCTGCCGAGAGCTTGGCAAGTTCCTTCATGGCCTCTAGGCGAGCCTCCAAGCTGGGTGACTGGGTCCGATCCATCAGCTGGCGGGCGGCCCTGGACTGAGAAGGAGAAATTGGGAGTCACTCAGGAGACGGGTTTGCAACTGGCAGAGGAGGGCGGGAGAGAAAGAGCCCCATCTCACCCCCCAAGCCATATCCAGAAGGGCTAAGAGCAGCCCAAACCTACTGGGGAAACCGCCAACTGGAGGATGGTCCCATTCTTGATGTCACCACGAGTCTGTAGGGCAAAAAGACAAAAGCTGGCTTAACACCGGGGGGGGGCTCATGGTGGACTCTAGGGTAGGACTGCACACCTACCTGTTCTGTTATGTACAGCTGTGCTCCATCAGCATAGCGTAGTGTGTAGTATTCAGGGTTGGGCAGGGACCAGCTGGAAGGGAAGGGACAGAGGAAAAGCACTTGAGCCTCCCAGCTGGCATTCTTTCACTCGGGAAGGGGAAGGAGGGTGCTCTGGGGCCCCGGCTGAGAAGGCCGGGAGGGGGAAGAACCGATCAGCCCAGCTGCCACAAAGTCCGGATTCGCTAGCACTCACCCATCACATACTTCCTTGATGATGGATACCAGGGGGCGCTTCTGAAAAGGGCAAGGGGAGGGAGAGAACTGTGAGCTAGGACGTTTCTCTGGATTAAGCTCTGCCTCATCCCCACCATCATCCACAGACAATCGCAAAGTGTTCCTGCTGTCCAGTTCCCCCTCCTGCCAATATTTGGGCACATGTTACTCGAAGCCTGCTCAATCTCTCACCTGATCAAACTCAAGCAGTTGGGCATTGGCCCCAGGCCACTCCACTGCCACTTTGACTACATCTGGGGGCGGCGGCATCTCTTTAGATTTTCAGCTCTCGCAAGAGATAGGAAGCGTCTCCCAAACCTGTCATGACAGAAAGGGTTTGGCCAGATGCTTGCTTTTCCACCCCAGGGCCACCAGCCAAAATCTCATGCCCGTTCCTGGTTCTGGCTTGCTTGTTACACAGTGGCTAAGTTCACACAACACAGTGAACCATGAACTAACCAAACGAGCCACATCTGCAGCACAAAATAAGCCGCAGGAGATTTACCTAAAGATAACTGAGTATGTTGTACAGATGGACTTGCTAGGTTTGAAATTAATCAGATGAAGTCTCAATCCAGCCAAGGACAGGCAGCGTTCACCTTTTGTCCACTTAACCCATTGGAGCAGCATCACTTGGTTCTAGCGTGTCCTAGAACAGCCACATCATGCTTAAGAGCTTTTCCTCATCTGCCTCTGTGAAACAGAGTCTACTAGGCTCAGGTCACTTGGAGTTTCAGAAGGCACTAAGACACTTCTTTTCATGGGCATATATAAAACTGATTTAAAATAAATTCTTATCTGTCATCTTGAACATACACAGGTTATTTTTATTCATTAGCAACCTTTTAGTCTAAAGGCTCCTTATCTTATATTATGGCCAACATGTAATTGTTTCAATTGTTATTTTATTCTGTGTTTTAGTTTAAAGAGAAAAATAAATAAAACTACCACTACTATTTCTTGGACCAGGGACCAACTGGGACAGGCTGGGGAGAAGGCCAGACAAGGATGTTCCCATAGCGCTGTTCAGCCCCAAACATCCAAGGAGAGGAAAGGCAGACCTTAAGCAGAGGAGAGTCCTCCTCTTTCAGGCAGGGAGCAGCCCTGCCATGCTTCAGGCCCCCCAAGACAGTCAGCACCAGCTCCGGGAGAACAGCGCAGCAAATGGTCAGCGCTGAGCTCATTGCCTGCAAGCTTCTCCACTGGGATAGTCAAGGATCTGAGCTTATGGCAGAAACATGTTTTCGTCTGAGAAATTTTGTACACCCTAAACATATAGAGATCTAATTCATCATGTTGATTTGACTCACTATCTCCAGTTTTTTTTTAAAGATGAATTTGTGTGCTCTGTAGTTACAACTCTGAAGGTACAAACAGAATGAAGTTTACAAAGGAAAAAAAAGGAAAAAGAAATGCACCAAAATGGACAAAACTAGAATCCTACAACAGAAAGAAAGAACAATCAATTATCAAAAGCCATAGGAATCAGTGGATACAACTGGAAGGCTGGAGGGGGATGCCAGGGTGATAAGAGAAATAAAGCAGCAGGAGATGCAAAACCAAGCTGGAAGAACAAGATTTTACCTAGACAGCAGAGGAGGTGAGGAGGGAGCTGCAGCTCTTGGCATCAAGTCAACAAAATGCAGACCAGCAGGTAGCTGAAGGAGAGCAATGGGCCAGCAGAGTTTGCTTAGGACACTCTGAATTGATGGATGTTCTCTCCCAGCAACTTTTACAAATGTGAAACAACAAGGGGGAAGGGATCAAGCCCTGAAGCACCCTGCAAATGAGGAGCCACCCAGCTGACCTCTCCTCCCCAGTCACTAAGGGGGGAGTTGCACTGGTCGCACGTGCACCTGTGGTATAGCTAGAATGGTAGTGGTGCATCTGTCCTTGTGCTCCTTGACCTCTCAGCAGCCCTCAATGCCACTGACCACAGTATCCTTTTGGACCAGCTTTGTGGGTTGGAGACACCATTTTACCTGGTTCTCCTCTGTTCTCTGTAGCCGGTTTCATTCGGTGGTGACAGGCAGGGAGAGATCGTGGCCATACCCCTCACTTGCAGGGTGCCACGGGATATGAAGTTCTTTCACCTTCTGTTCAACAGCTACATGAAATTGCTGGATGAGGTCATCTTGCTGATTTGGGGTCTGGTATCGTCAATATGCTGAAGATACCCAGTTGTCTCTCTCAACCCCTGGCTAGCCGAGCAATGCGCCTGAAGTCCTAATCCAGCACCTGCAGTCTGTCAGGGCTTTAGACTGGGCGGCTCAGATTCAGGTTCCGCCCCGACAAGACCGAGTAGCTCTGTCTGTTTGGCCCCACCCGCACCCCGGGATCCGGAGGTATTCTGCGGCTGACTCTTGGTGCGGTAAGCACTTCTCCATTTGAGACTTGTGCACAATCTGGAGGTCCTCTTGGACTCTCAGTTCCTGCTCAAAGCTAATAATACGTTCAAATTAAATAAAGCTGTAAGCCAAGAGGGCCTTTGCCAGGTAGCTCTAGTGCATCAAAAAAAGTGTCCTTTCCAGGACTGGGAGACCCTTCAGACACTCTCTCGTGCCCTGGTCACCTCACGACTGGCCTACGGTAACACGCTCTAAATGGGGCTGCTCCTGGACCATCTGGAACCCGTGCTGGTTCAGAGCGGGGCAACGCAGGCAGCGGCGGGGCGTGCGAGCGGCGTTCGGTGCCAGGTGCGAATCGAGGTGCCGGGGGCGCCCTTCAGGGCCTTTTGCTGCCCGGTGGTACGGCACCCCTTATCTCCAGCCGCCTCTGCCCATTCCAGCTGGTTGCGGCGCCCGCCCCGTAGCGCGCTCGGGGAGGACCGCAGGCCTCCCAGGCCTAGGTCACGGACCCCCGGTCGTTCCCGGGCCGGCCCTGGGGACAGGGTGGCCGCGCACCCCATTTCGCCTGGCTGGCCTGCTTCGTTTCCCGCCTGGCGGCTTTTCCGCTGGAAGCCGCCCAGAGCTGCCCGGGAGCCGGGCGGCCCAGAAGTCAAACAAGCAAACAGCCGGCGCCCCGCGCTCGCCGCCCGGGCGGCACGACGGCGGATGACGGCGTCAGCGGCGGCCAAGGCCTTCCGCGGGCCCGGACGGCGCGCGACCCCTCCCAGGGCCGACCCGGCCGCCAGCGCGGCCCTCCGGCTGAAGTCCCTGCGAGGCGCCGAGGCTGCCCGGGACGCCCCGTTTCTCCCCGGGACACGTCGGGCCCC